CCATGCCCAAACTGAAGCTTGAAAATTTGAACCCAAGCTAAGAACAAGTTCAGGTTGGATTAGGCAGGGCTTGTATTAGGTCTGTCCAAGTTGAAGCCTTGTTTTTAGTAATTGATATATTAGGTCAACCATAAATTGTGTCACAACTTCACAAAAATTGGTATTTTAATATTAAATATGGAGAAAAGAAATACCGTGATAACTCCAATGTTCTACAATGGATGAATAAATGGTTCGCATGTTACTCTTTAAAAATAAAGCATGAGTTGTTTATATTTTAATGTTCACTTTCACGATAATACATACTGTTTCAAAAAAAAGTGTCACTCATCTGCACATAACTATGGTGGTTGAGTGCACTTTTATGTCTTAATCAAATATCATATATTTTTTGGATTGCGTGGACAGTAGAAATTCAAGCTACCATGGAGTCAATGGGTTTAGAAGGGTTCTGCTTTTTCTATTTTAAAATTATCTTTCCAGAAGTTGTCAATCTGCCACTTATGACTGAAGTGCTTGAACACACTGTACTATCTCAATGCAAACATGTAAAAAGTTATACATTTATGGATTGGGCAGACTGGAAATTCAGGCTATGAGATTGTGGGAACCACAGTGTTTATAATTGTGCCCATGAAATAGTTTCTTTCAAAGCTTTAATTAGATGCGGCGGATGATATGCATCCAACTTTCTGGTGTGGACAATGACCCTAGACAAATGCCTTTCCAGATCTAATCTTGAGAGGTGTGGCATCCAAATTTTGGATTCTTCTTGTGGTCTTTGTGCTTCCCTCCCAAGAATCTACAGATCATCTCTGTCTTCACTGTTCGGTCTCTTCCCTGGTGTGGGAGCATTTCCTGAAATCCATCGACATCAGCTGGGTTTTGCCTAGGTTGATCAAGGAGCTAATGTGCTGTTGGAAAGTTAAAGGCCTAAGCAAGAAAGGAAAATTAGCGTGGAGGACCATTCCTGCTGCAGTCTTGTGGTGCATTTAGACTGAAAGGAACAACAGAATTTTCTGTAATAGAGTTAAGAGTAGGGGTGGATTCGAGCCAAGCCGAGCCGAACAGTTGAGTATTCGAGCTCAGCTCGGTAGGAAAATGCAAGGCTCGAGCTCGGTTCGATTACAAAATTCACAGGTTCAAGCTTAATAATGAACCTTCGAAGTCCCAACTCCTATCTGTAGAGAAGAACCCCAAATCAGAAATAGAAGAAGAAGAAGAAGAACTCACACAGCTGTATCCTTTGGACCTGCCGCTGCCGGTGCTCGTCGGTGATGATAACTACTTCAAGAAGCAGAGAAAGGATGGTGCAAACTGTTGTTGTTGGACGTTGGTTGTGAAAGCACTGAGAGGAGAACGAAAACCTGTTTTTCTGCAGCTTTTCATGTATTTTGTAATTGTAGCAGAGTGAGAGAGATCCAGAACCAGAGGTGTCGAAACTCTGACTCTGAGAGTTGAGAGCTGAGAACCTGAGACCGGAAGGCTCCTCAGTCCTCCCACTTTTGATAACTAGGTGAGAGCTGAGAGGGTGAGACCGTCGACCGCCGACTGGTGAGAGCTGTGGCCTGTGAGAGCAGAGCTGCAGTCTGCAGAGGAGAACGAAAGTCTGAAAGTCAAGGAAGAGAAAGAAAGGGTTTAGCTGCTTAGGTTTTTTTGATCGAAGAAGATGACATTTTTCTCTCCCTCTCAAGTCTCGAGGAAGTATACTATGTGTAGGGACCATGGTATAACTGTGTCCCTACCAATAAAAATTTCTAAAAAGGTATATATACTTATATATATAATATGTATAATATAAGTTATATAAAGGTTCGTTAGGCTCGCGAGCCTAATGAGCCAAACTTTAAAATGTTCGAACTCAGCTCGATTGACAGGCGAGCCAAATATGAGGCTCGTATTCGGCTCGAAGCTCGGTCTGGGTTGAGCCAAGGCGAGCATTTCACGAGCCGAGCTTGAATAGCTCGTGAAAAGCTCGGTTCGTGTCCACCCCTAGTTAAGAGTCCTGAAGAGCTAGTGCAGAGAGCTGTGGGCAAGCTGATTTCTTGGGTGTCTGTTACTGAGGAGTTCAGATACCTGAACTTGTCTCTCTTGTTTCGGTCTCAGTCTTGTTGGAGTCTGTAACTTGTGTTGTTCTCAGGCTTCTTTCTTGGCCTGGGTTTTGTTGTATGCTCTCATTTCTATTTGAATAAATTTACCTTACCTTTTCCAAAAAAAAATGACATGCATCTTTTATGTTCATAATTCACGATCACCAAGTATAGCTTCTATCATGCTTTGAAATATTTGTTTTTCCATCTTTGTACCTTTTGCATTGCTTTTATCATGTTTTGAGTTTATTCAATTACTAGGACCTGGCATGAGGATTATTCACTGCATGATAAAGTAGTTGGTAACTGGTTCCTTTTGTATTTGCAGGAGCATTTGTTGATTGTGTGTGAACTACTCAAGGCAAATTTATATGAATTTCACAAATTCAATCGAGAATCAGGGGGAGAGGTTTACTTCACAATGCCAAGGTTGCAGGTTTGTATGATGCTAGATTTTTTGAAACTCGAATCCGTATGATTCATCTTCTCTCTTTGCTGATGTATGACCTATTTTTGTATTCATCTCTGCAGTCGATAACCATTCAGTGTTTGGAAGCATTGCAGTTTTTGCATGGGCTTGGTCTTATTCATTGTGATTTGAAGCCAGAGAACATTTTGGTAAAGAGCTACAGTAGGTGTGAGGTGAAAGTTATTGACCTTGGGAGTAGTTGTTTTGAAACAGATCATCTTTGCTCATATGTCCAGTCTAGATCCTATCGGGCACCAGAAGTTATTCTGGGACTTCCATATGATAAAAAGATTGATATATGGTCACTTGGCTGCATCTTGGCTGAACTTTGTACTGGAAATGTAAGTTGCATCAATCTTTAGAAATTGTGCTAATCTAATTGTTTTTACTTTTTAGTACTATTGTCATTGTTTTAACATTTTCTTTTTTTTTTCTTTTTTTTTTATCAATTACACTTTCATTAACTCATCAAAAGAAGATTTACAATAGGAAGACAAACACGCTTATCTTCCAAGAGCAACAAAGAACCTCAAGAAAAGAGAAAAAAGAAAGAAAACACACTATAGTTACAATTTAGCCCAAAAAAGTGAATCCCTTTCTGCCCCTTGTTTAGCTAAACCGTCAGCTAGGGAATTAGCCGATCTTTTAACCCAAAGTATCTTAACTTCCATCTCCCTGTTTTAACATTTTCTTCCTCAATTTATTATTATGTTGTTAACAATGTGGATATCATGTTTTTAAGAAGATGTACATTTTTCTGATAAAATGAGATTATATTGGTTTGGGAAGTTTTCAGAATGGTGTGTCGTTTACCCGCCAAATTGGTTGTCTTTTAAGCACTTATGCTGGACAAACCAAGAATTGGTATCGGTGATCATGAGAAACCAAGTCTGAACCAAAAATTCCGGTTAACCGAACCGACCGGTATACAGATATTTATATATATTATATATAGTTATATATATTATACAATGTTTTCGTATATATTTTATATTATCTATATATTATAAAATAAAAAAATCGAAAAACTGACGAACCAAATCGGCGGTTAACTGAAACCATGAACACTAGTACTTGGTGTTCATAACTTAATAATGTTATTTTTTGATGATTTGCAACTTAATATTGGTATTATTTGTTACTTTTAACCATTATTATTATTATTGTTATTCCTCATTATAATTTTATGTTTGTAGGTAATACATTTTTTGAGGAGCTAAAGAGTTTGCATTTTGTTTTCTTTCCTCTTAAAACAATAAGGGATGGTTCATATTGTTTTGTTGATGATGTTTCTTTCTCTTATTATCTTGCTTGTACATTTCAAAGTATAATATTTCTGAATGTACCTTCTTGGAGTACAAACAACTGGAAAACATTGATGTGCTTTCGTTTTGCATAAATATATAATTATATACTATTAATAAAACACATCTCACTTGCAATGTGGAGATACATCTTTGACAATGTTTTCAATATAAACCTATTTATCAAAAAAATGTTTTGAATATAAACCTTATTGTGCATGTGCAGGTTCTCTTCCAAAATGATTCACCTGCAACTTTGCTTGCACGTGTTATTGGAATCATAGGCCCTATTGACCAAAGCATGCTGGCTAAGGGACGGGACACATACAAATATTTCACCAAAAACCATATGCTTTATGAACGGAATCAGGTAATTTCCCTTCACTTTCCTATCATATTGTTCTTTTTTGCTTATGTGGTTCTGTCTGAAGTTATTATGGTCACCTGGTTAAATCTTGTCTGATGCATTCGGTTGTTCATAGTTCAATGCAATTGTGTACATTCATAGTGCTGCTCTATGCACCTTTTCTAAAAACAATCTAACTACCTCTTTTATCTCAAAATAATTTAGATGTACATATTATTTCGTTACAGCATTATTTAACAATCTGATATCACAATTGTCCATTTATGTGTTCTGGCTTTCCAAGGGAAAAATTCTGGTTCCATTGCACTTTGAATTACCTGGTTCTTATCATAATCTACAAGGTACTATACAATTTGTTGAAAGCTTATGAAGCAAGCAATACCTATATTGCTAGAGCCTAAAAGATGAATGCTCAATTGAGGACTGAATTAAGTAATTTTGCTGCTTGGCCAGTTCCTTTTGAAATACATCCTGAATGGCTGGGCACCCATGTTGGTGCCTTGGTAGTTGGGACACCATGTAGGGGCCTGAATGGTTGGTAAATAATGTAGCAATCTCTACCAAGTGATGCATCCTAGCTTTTCTGTCTTCCAATTTTGATCTTGGAATCAGTGATTTCACTCATAGGATGATAGGATTGCCCATTCCAATACCTCTAGTATTTTGGCCATTTCAACAGTCTTATTCAATAATAATAATATTACTTATTCTTCTATTGCGAAACATTTTCAGCTTTTCCTATGGTAATGTGTTTGCACTTCTCTCTTCAGGAAACTAACAGACTGGAATATCTCATCCCTAAAAAGACATCTCTACGGCATCGGTTGCCAATGGGGGACCAAGGCTTCATTGATTTTGTAGCCCATCTCCTTGAAATAAATCCAAAGAAGCGCCCATCAGCATCAGAAGCTCTGAAGCACCCGTGGCTCTCCTATCCATATGAACCCATCTCTTCTTAACCATGGAAAGCAATCCTTGATGGAAGAGGTGATATGTTACGGGCAACCCTCAAGCTTGGGTTCTGGCCTTGATCAAAAGGGAAGAAGCCCGCTCAATTCAGAAGCAACCAGACAGTACTGGAGGCAACTAAATGTGTGCTTCACCCTGGATTGGCTGTGCAGGTCTTGCAATTCACACGTGTGGCTGGTGCATTGAAAGGTGTTGTTTGGCTTGTTGACGGACTCTCTCCCACATTATCGAGTTGTATCCTAACTTGTCTGTAACTTAGAATGTAATTTTTGCCTGCACCACTATTTCTAGGCTTTTTTGCTTGCTTGCTCTAGTGGGAAGGGATCTTCATCCTGTTGTATATGATGTGATTATTCTTTGAAGGGTTCTTTTGGTTATGGTTAATGGTTTTATGCTAATAGCTGTTTATTCAAGTTGGTTGGCGTTTAACAAAGGATTGGCAGTGTCTTGTGGGAGTTTGGGAGTGGGCCCAGGAAGTACGGTCACATTTTTACATATACACTGTTGAATCATGAATGTATTATAAACAGAACCTTGTAGTCATGTGCCACAGATCCATGGAGACATTTGAATGTAGCCATAAGGATAATGGTCTTCATATGGGGCCCAACCCCATTTAAGTTGAAATCTCAGTTCTTCATTTCTTTTTCATAGAACTAAATGTGCTGTGAACTGATGCTTTGGGATCTGAGGGGTTTTGAGTCAATGTGCTAGTGGTGGGTATGAGTGTTGTTTTCGTGCAATGACTGCATTCAAGTTGCATTTGGGGTCAAGCTTGAGTTCAGGGAAGGGCAATTGCCAGGGATTAGCCGATTCACTTGTTTATTGGGTTTGGCATCTTAGGCTTGGTTATTTTGAATAGGATGACAAGGGGCAGCAGGTTCGTAAATTCTAGACCCTCTTCATCGAGGCTGGATCTGCTCCTCATGGAGTGCACCTCACGGACCTCACAGTCCTATCTCACCGTATATTGAGAACATCTCCCATCCTTTATGTTGTGATGTTGTTATTCATTGGAAAATGTTTCCAATAATGGGGCTGTGAGGAGCAGATCGGATCTGGTTTCCTCCTCACCTCCCAAATTGTTTCGTTCTGTATGTTTTTCAAAACATGCGGGCAGGTGGTAGGTTGGATTTTCAGAATTCAAATCCTTACACATGAAAATACTTAAACATACCTGGGATTTTTTAAATTGATTTAAGCATATCTTGAGTTTTTAGAAAAGACATAAAGATACATCGTAACTCTTTTATCCTTCATTTTCTTCCAAATTTTCAAAATCCACCCCGAAATTTTCAAACTCATGCGAGTGGTAGGCGCTCTCTCTCGTCCTGTATCAACAGTTGAGGATAAGAATTGATTAACAACGAAAAAGAGAATTCTTCTTCTTTTGCGCAGAAAACCTTAACAAGTACGTATCTGTTAAAATACAATGAACTGATTAACTGAATAAACCATTGGTTACTAAAACAACAGTTTCCGTTGCCAATCCCAATACAAATAACTTTCAAAAAAATGAGAACTATCCAGAGTAAAACTATTAATTTTTTAGAAAATGGTTGAAATAGACTTTAATTGTGCTTGCAGTAATTTATGGGGCAAAAGAGAAGAGATGGATTCTGATGGCAACATTCCTCACTGATTTTATTTTCTTTCACATTAGGCAAAAAAAAAAAAAAAAGCATTTATAACAGGATTATAATAGTTCACTCAAACCTCATCAATTATTTGTGTTTGCCTAAAGTCTATGTGATTGATCAATTCATTCCAACTTAACTTTCTTCTTCTTCTTCTTCTTCTTCTTCTTCTTCCACCTCATTTCTCTTTCTTCTCTTTCCTATTTAGAAGGGTAATATAGGATTTTAAAGATTTTGAACAAATTTCATTGATGGTGGTATTTTTAAGTTAAGTGGGGTCAATCCACAAAATATATTTAAGTCCATTTTAAAAACTTAGGGTATATAAGTCTTTTGCCCATATATATTATATTATATAGAATTATATTATATTATAAATAATATAACGTGTTTGGCGCTACCAAAGTCTCTTTTCAATGCAAAGACTTGAAGCTTCTTGCCATTGCAAGCAGAGCGAGTCAATTAGATGAAATGTAAAGATATTATTAAATGTATATGTAGGGTCAATAATCTATTTTTCTAAATTTGAGATGTATGGTTTTTACATCCTTTGTTTAAATCTTGTCTGTGAAGAAAATAAGAGAAATATGCACCCTTCGCCGAGTCGGCAAATGAATCAACTCTCTCTCGGACTACATCTTTCCCATAGATTCATCTATGAACAACTACTTAATCTCATTCTATATTTTCACACCCTTCGATTGGTTCATAATTTCTATATCTTCAACAACCCCTTATTCATACGATTGTGAAGGTTTGAGGGTTGTCATTCAATCAACAACTATGATCGTAGTCACCGCCTTGTCCAAACATGAAGCATCTCTTCCAAGCTTTCCATCGAGTTTTGAAAATGGTTTTGGTTTCTCTATGTGAAAATAAGACCAATAGGATGAGGTGAGGAGCATTTCATATGAATCCATTTTCCAACACTTACTAGGCAAGAGCGCTTGAAAATATAAGAATTTTAATTTCATCTGTGTTCAAGAGTGTTGTTGAATGAGAGTAACTGCCATTAAGTTCTAAATAACTACTTGGGAATGTATTTTAGGGGTTGTGTTAAGTCAGTCCTAAACTTCAAAATGTCTCTCTGCCGTACTTGAAGTTTATGGGCATTAAAGGCTATGTGAAAAGACTGAAATACCCATCATTTTCCAAAGAAGAGAGGCAAAAAATTTTTAAAAATGGCAGAACTGCCACTGCCTAAAAACCCCTTATGAATCGGATGGGCAGCACTGTTCAGTCAAACGCTTGGTTTCGTCCAAGGTTGCAGAGGTTGCCACTGGTGTGCTTCCTCGGGAAAACCCGTTGTTTGAAGTCATTGCTGATGCTCAAGACAACATTCCCTTTGGTTTACGATAAGGGTTATCTCTATTACGATTACTTGATGGAGAAGAAAATAAACCCTTACCATTGCCGGAGAAGAAAATAAACCCTTGCCATTGCTGGAGAAGACAATAAACCCTTGCCATCTCCGTAGAAAAAAGGTAAAAAATGACATTTTACCCTATTTTTGTCATCTTCACTGGTGTTAAATGATTATGATTTTTTGTTCATTCGACAGACATACAAAATGTTTTTTCCCATTCATGTTTGTTCATTCGATAGACATACTGATTTTTTTTCCTAACACGTTTTGTTGATTTTCATGCATGTTTCAATCTTTTCAGCTAGGGTTTAACAATGTGTACATGTAAAATATGATTTTCTATTGTGCATTGGGAAATATGGTCTATTGTTGCCTCTGTATGACTAGGGTTCAGATTGTCTTTTGGTTTAGTCGTTTTGTACTGTTATTGGTTTGAGATGTAGATTTGATTTTCAATTTATAACTTGAACTTTTTAGATACCCGAGATGTTACAGTTATTGGTCCCATACCTTTTCCCCCACCATGTGATTGGAATGCGCATTAATTTACTTTTGTTAGTGGTGGGGATAAGGACCATCAGTTTTTTTGTGTTCCACTAGTGGGGATATAGGGGCATCTCTTTTTTTTATGTTTTTTTTTTTTTTTTTGGTTATAATAGGTTCTTACCATGTTTCTATTGTTGACAACATCTCTATTTGTCATTTATATTGCACTTTCTTCATATGTTTATCATTTTCCTCCACCATGGGGGCACCATTGTTGAATTACCACCATTAATACAATGTATTGTGGTGGTGAGGTGACACTGAGTACTAATGTGGATGGTGACTTGTTATCATATATATATTGAAATAGTTACAATGATGAAAGAGTTGGGAAATGTTGATTAATGGAAAGTGTTTTACAATAAGTCAGGGCATGATTTCAGGGATGGAATGGTACTCATACAAAATGGTAGAGATATATTAAGCATGTGCGCAGTTCATGAAGGTAGGCCCCATATAGACTTATATGTGTTTCATGATGTGGATAATGTAGGCCCTGCCCCCCATGAGGTAGATGGGGAGGATCAACTTGACGAGGAGTTGGTTGATGAGGATCGAGCAGATTATTGCTTTGATGAAGGAGATTGGAGTACTAATGATGACAGTGATGAATAGGATTATGTAATGAGTAGTGGATATGAAGATGATGAACAAGCTACATCATTAGAGGATCAAACAAGTGCAACCCTTGATTGTTGTGATGCTAAGAAGCATAGTGAGTATGATGGGCAGACTTCTCCTACCCCACGTAGTGAACCACACCAGACTGATAATGAAGGTTATGATGGAGTTGGCGGTGCAACAACTCAGGTGGATGTAATTGGACCAGAGTTGCAAGCACCACAGTGTGTGGAATTTGTACCCAAGAGGCAAATGAGTATGCCAAAGTTATTAGTGGGATTGACATTCACCAATCAAAAAATACTTAGGGAAGCTTTAGTATCATATGCAATTGTGAATAGTATCCGGTTTGATTATGTGAAGAATGACAAAGATAAAGTTATAGTTCATTGCAAGAATAAGTGTGGTTGGCACATATAGCTCATTGCAGGATAGGGAAGCATTCCAAATCAAATCCTTTGTAGGGAAGCGTGAGTGCACAAGGGCTCTAAAGAATGATACAATAAGTTTAGCATGGCTTGCCAACAATTACAAGAACAAATTCTTGGATGACCCAAATATGAAGGCACTTACATTATGTAATGAGACCCTCAAAGATTACGGTGTTGATATTAGTAGATTAACCGCATATAGATCCAAGACGAAGGTATTATGTGGTATTGAGGGGATCCAGACTAAGCAATACAAGAAGTTGCTTGATTATTGTCATGTGTTGTTGAATTCAAACCTAGTGAGTATAGTGAGGATTGCGTTCAAAGAAGATTATCTGAGACAATTTGAAAGACTATTTGTGTATTTCAATGCTTTTAAGGTTGGCTTCATGGAAGGATATCACCCATTTATAGGGCTTGATGGCTACCATTTGAAGCAACTTAACTTTGGCCATATACTGTTTGTGGTTGTAATGGATGGGAACAATTGTATATTCTTGATTGATTTTCTTGTTGTTGAGGAAAAGTGTAGAGAATCTTGGAATTGGTTTTTGTCTTTATTGTTTGAGGCAATTGGAGGCCCAAAGGAGCATGTGTGGGCATTTATTTCAGATAAACAAAAGGCATTTCTCTTAATATCTTTATTGCATAAATTCCAATGTATGATGTTTGATTTTTGTGTAAACATACTACGGATTGCTCATTGTGTTTTAGGGCCTTGTAGAGACATTCAAGAGAATGATTCTAGGTGCTGAGAACAAATTTTGTGTGAGGCACATGTATGCAAATTTCAAAGGAATCTTTAAGGGGAGAGACTTAAGAAATTGTTTATAGGGGTGCAGCCAGAGCATACATGGTTGCTGAATTTGATTAGTATCTGGAGGGTCTCAAGTTTTTGAACAATGATGAATTTGAATGGTTGAAGAAGATACCTTTAGCTTT